TTGAGCAACATCTTGTCGCGGTCTATCAGCATGGGGAGCATGGCTAGCGGAATCGATGACCTCCATGACTACTCCGGGCCGGCCATGGGTCAGCTCGAGACCCTGGACGAGGTTGATCAGAACTTGTCTCAGCGTCCGAGCCAGCGGGTTCAAATCGACGATATGCTGCAAACCCCCAAAGCCAAGCGCAACTCAACTGCTCTCGCCGCGCCCACCGACACCGTCATCGCCCGCCATGTGCGAGAAGTGCAAGTTCCCGAGTCTCTAGCTAGAGAATATAAGAGCAAGGGAGGCCTCGTAACTCCACGCAAACCCCACGACTTTAATAGCGTCGCGGGTCTTGGCACCTCGACTGGAATGAGCCGCCATGGAGGCAAGAGCTTGACCCTGAAGGAGCAGAGCAGCACCATCGAACGCCTGAGCAAGGAGAATTTTGACCTCAAGCTCAAGGTTATGTTCCTGAGCGACCGCCTGGATAAGCTCTCTGAAGAAGGTATTAAGGAAATGATCTCAGAGAACGTCGAGCTCAAAACGGGCCTGGCAGTGTTGCAGAGGGACAATAAGATGCTGCGTCGGCGTGTCAAGGAGCTCGAAAAGCAAATGAAGGATGACGACCAGCGCCCCGGGACTGCACGTAGCGTCTTGTCCGACGATGATCAGAGCGCTGCGTACTACCAAGAGAGTCAGGAGCGCGAAGAGGAGCTGATATATCTGAGGGAGCAGATGGAAGAGTACATTACCGAGATTGAGAGGTTGAGAACCGACAACATAGCCAAAGAAGCTGAGAAGCGCCGCATGGCCGAGGTCGTCCGGACACTTGGGGAAAAGGCTGGCGAGAGAATAGGCGAGAGTCTCGGCCGACAAGAAGAAGCGGACGTTTGGAAGGATCTTCTCGAGCAAGAGACTGCCAGGAGAGAGCAGGGCGACGAAGACAACCGCCGCCTCCGCGACGAAGTCTTTCGCCTGAAGCAGGAACTCGCGGCGCAGTCGGCTGGGAGTGCACTAAACCACACCACAAACATCTATAACATCACCAAGAAGCGAGACCGTGCCATGTCTCCAAGTCGACCGACGACGGCTTTCTCCAACGAATTAGATGCCAGTGGAGCGCTGAGCGCAGGCAGCACGTTGGTCGAGGATCTTCGCCGGGAGAGCGATCAGCTGCGCCACGAGAATGCCGAGCTGCGACGCGAAGTGGGTGCCCAAACGTCAATGCTTACCTCGCGGAACCGCGAGAAGGAGCGACTGTACCAAGAAATCGAAGATCTGAAGATGGCGCAACGCCGGGGCGGGCCAGCACCTTCCACGATAGATAGTATCTTGGAACGGTCAGCATCCCGCGCAGGGGCTCACGAGCGGTCGCAGTCTCGAGCAAGTGGCGGGACACGAGCCACCGGGACCGCACTGGAAGAGCCGGAGCGCGAGGAGTTGGAAAACAAGCTGGCCGACCTGCGCGACAAGAACAACGAGCTCAAGCTGCAGAACCAGGACCTGCAGCGAGAGCTAGACGCCTGCATGGAAGACTTTGAGGCTGCGGTCGGAGCCAAAAAGGAAGCCGAGGAGCTAGTTGCCGCGCTTCAGGAGGATCTCGACACCGCCATGAACGACCTAATGGCACTCCAAGCGGAGAGAGACGAGGCCTTGCAGGAGCATGCCAACTTGGAGACCGAGTTTGAGGCTCTGCGCAAGGAAGCACAGGAGGAGATTGACGCACTCGAGGGCGAAGGGGATCAGCGCAACGCCGAGATAGAGCGTCTGCAACTCGACTTGAATGACAGGACTGAGAACTTTGACGCACTACAAGAAGAGATGCGCAAGATGAGCGACGCGCTTGTGCGGCTCGAGGATGAGCAGGAAACCAAGCTCCGAAGGATCCAACAGCTCGAGCAAGAGCTTGGAGATGCCAACAGGGAGCTAGAGGATCTCGAGACCAAGCTCTTGGAGGCGAACGACAAAGCCAATCGACTATCGGTGCAACAGGAATCTAGCCAGGGTGAAATTGCGTTCCTGCGCGAGGAGCAAGAAGGCGACAAGATCCGCATCGGAGACCTCGAGGCCGCGCTCGCTAATGCCGAGCAGACCATTCGCGAGGAGAAGGATCGCGCCCGGGAGCTTGAGCAACGCCTCGCCACCGAGAGGCGGCAGCGCGAAATCGTCGCGAATCGGGAGAAGGAAGACATCCAGCAGTTCGTCAACGAACTCAACAGGGAGGCGTCGGCGGCCAAGGATGAGGCTAGGCGGCTACGCAAAAACCTCACAAGTAGAGAAGTCGAGGCGACGGAGTGGAAGGAGAGGCTCATTGAACTAGAGAACAACTTGCGCGAGGCTCTAGGAGACTTGAACGGAACGAGGTCAAGTCTTTTGAAGGTAAGTCTACCGAGACTTTTGTGTGCCTGCGAAAAGCTTACTGACCCCCCTTTACCCTGCAGTCAATCGCCAAACTCCAGCGCGATCTGGAGAACACGGTGCGCGATCTCGACGCCACCAAAAACTCTCTTATGGAGAAGGATCGCATCATCAAACAGCGCGACGCCCTTCTCGAATCGCATGCTCTCGAGTCTCGCAAAATGGCCGAGATGCTCGACAAAGAGCGGCAGGCGCACCGCAACTCCAAACACCAGTTTGAGACCTTCCAGAAGACGCACCAGCACGTCACCAGGACCGTCAGCTCCCAGGATGCCCGCATCCTCGAGCTCGAGGCGGCCAAGGCCCAAGACAAGAAGCGCCTCGCCCAGCTCGAGGCCAACTTCAAGGATCAGCTCACTGAGCGCAACAATCTTCTGCTTGTGCTTTGGACCCGTCTTTCGTCGCTTTGCGGCTCCGACTGGGCCCACGACAACAGCCTCATCAACGGCCGTGCGCTACCTAGCCTTGAGGCTGTGGCGACCATGCTGCCAGGGTTCAGCAAGAACTTGTTGGCCGCGGTGAAGACCATAGAGACCATGGTAGGCGGGTTCCAAGGCAAGATCAAGAGTGTGGAGAAGGACCTGTGGCGAGAGTACCAGACGCTCGAGAGTCATCTGGACATGCGCACCAAGAAGCTAGATCGGCTTGAGGCCATCATGCGCAACAGCATCGCGACCGGGACTCTCAGTAACGGACCCAGCGAGGCGCAGCAACGGCTTGTGCGGCTGGAAGACGCCTACCGCCAGCTCAAAGTCGAGAACCACACACTCCGCACTGCCGCTGAAGTCCGCGCGAGAGCCGCCTACGCCGCCACCGGCGATCCGAACGGCCTCATCCCTGACAACTCGCCGGCCGGCGGCGGCAGCCCCAGTCCCTCGGTTCCCACAGGCCCAAAGGCTAAAGACCGCACAAGCCGGATACCGAAGACGGGCGCCTCCAGCCGCGGAAGCAGCAACTACTCGCTAGGTCGCTCCAGCACCATGACCACCGGCCGTGCGACAAGCAGCCACCGCGTCAATCTCGCAGCCGACGAGCTCATGGGGCTCATAGGTCAAGAAGCGGAAGATGATGAGAAGGAGCAACTGCAGCAGCAGCAACAGCAACAACAGAGTGCCAACGGCAGTGCTAGCAGTAGTGGAGCTAACATGGACAACAAGTGGATGCTCCGCCTGCGCGACCTCGAATACAAGCTCAAGGCGGAGCGCGAGGCGCGTCTCCTCGACCGTGGCGAGGCCATGAAGCGCATCAACGCCAGCGAGAGCGAGAATAACCTGCTCCGCGACAACCTCGAGCGCGAGAAGAGGCGGCAGGGCCGATCATAGATGGTCGCAACTGCTGCCGGTGCCGAGAGACACCGCGCCGGGGCTGAAGGGGGCGGGAGCGGCATCAAGACGCGTGTCTTCCGGTGGTTGGGCTTTGGCGACGGGCCTTGGTCGTCCAAGAGGACTGCTCGTCCGCCCTCTCCCGAGGGTGCTGGAGAGGCCAATGCCAATATTGCTACTGCCCGAGCTATTGAGCCTTGTTGATTGAAGCGGTGCATTTTACCTTTTTCTTCACCACATTTGTTTTTTTTCTCTAGCATCTTTTCGTTTTTATCTTCTTCTTCTTCTTCTTCTTCTTCTCTCTTTCTCTTCGCTTCTTCGAACGGCAACCGCACGGCGATGGGAAGGGACACGTACTTGTCTTGCTGCATGCAATACCGTGATCCAACAACTCGTATCAGCAGTTGTACGTTTTTGTATTTTTGTTTTTCGGCCTCGGTGTCGCTTGTTTTCTTTAGTTTAAGTTTTTAGTTGGCGAACCTGGTCGATCGGTCAAGGCGCGGTGGGATGGTTGGTTGGTTGGGCTATCATTGATAGAATAGGGAGGGTTTAGGGATCTCTCGTCTTGGTTTTTGGTTTCTTCCATTTTCTTTTTGGGTTCGGCATCGATTATGCGTTTCTTCCATCTTTCTGGCCCCTTTCTTGCTTCTTCTTGCTATAGCCATGATGCGACACATGCCTTCTCTCCTTGTCTGTTTGTTTGTGTCTTGTGCCCTTGTCTTGTCTGCCTGCCTGTCTGGGCTCTGCGCTTGCGGTTGATGTCTTGGTCGTTTTACTGCTGGCGTGCGTGATTGTTTGTTTGCCTGTCCCTTTCCACCTTGCTCTTCAGTGTAACGTGTACTATACTGTAAGATCATCAAAGCATTGCTGTTGGAATTTGTATTTCTAAGTTGTTGCTTCAAGATACCTTCCTTTGCACTGTTGCACACCGCCTATCCTCAGGTGATCCTATACCTGCTTTCCTATGGTTTTCTTCACACAGACGTTTCTGCCCGCAGCCAAAGGCTCATGACGAGGAGTTCAAGTCTACTGCAAGTAACAATATATTCTTGTTCAATTTACTCGTTAATAACTCATGGTAATAGTCTAAGGTTAGTAGTTCTGCGATGAATAGCGACATAAGGCAAATGTAAATCGAGAAGATAATTCACTTTGGGTGAAAGAATTGGCAGTCAAAATAGAAGAACTACGACGAAAGAAAATGGGAAGCAAAAAGAAATAGGAGCTTAGTCCTCCTGTAAGAGAGTGTGAGAGGCAAAAAGAAAGGCTTCTCTCTCCCGCTGGGAATTGAACCCGGGTCCCGAGCGGAATCAAAAGTTGACAAACTCATATACTTACCACTATATTACGGAAGAATGTAAATACTTGAGCAGATGTGTGGCATCTGCCGTAGATTCTCGAAGAGAGCCGGGCTGCTGGAGCGACCGCGGATTGAACGCGGGACCTACTGTAGGAACCAACTTCGGAGAAGATGCGAAACAGAAATCATACCACTGGAATAGACCATCGCCCCGTAGCTAGTTGTGCCTTTTGATGGAGTGGACCTCACGATGGAGGGCTGATATAGCTCGATGGAGACGGATGGGTTAGATGTTGGTACTGCGAGATTGGATATGCAGTGTGGAAGCCGGGTTGCCCTTGTTGCAACGTGGGACCCATAGATGGATGACAGCTTCTCATAGCCCAGGTGTTTCCACGCATACATATATGTCCGGTTGCTATCGATAGAGGACATACTTCATACAATTACTTGGTATCTCAAGACTTTATATGCCGGGGAACCAACTCGGAGTCTAGCAACATCTGGGATTACAACCTGTAAGTTATCTCAATATCCCTTGTTAACTAGGGACTGTGCCCCGACTCGAAAGATTGACGTACATAGTCAGCAAAAGCAAACAACAGTCATGCTCTTGGGCTGCTACAAAATGACACCGATGCTATAGCCGTTTGTATCTGGATGCAGGCTTGTGTAATAAGTAGTTGTCGTGCAACTAAGAAGAAGTCCCTCGACTTCCCAAAAGGACCGCATATTCACTGGGCACAAGCACACAGGAGATAGTTACACCGAGCAGCCCAGAGGCGGTTGTCGCCAAGTGTGGACAGGTGGTTTCCTGGTTGTGTGGCCAAAAAGGCTGCTGCACTGGTAGGGGGCACAGCCAGTCGACTCTCGGGCCTGCGGAGCATTCGGTGCCGGGGGGGCTTGGTTGACTCTAAAACGTCGAGCTGTTGTGTTGCACGATTGCTGCACGCATGGCCTCTGCGGAGACAAATCGGAGTTGGCGACTGGACCGACGCGAGCGATTTAGGTTTATTTATCGCGCTGACCACTCGATGACTGCATGAACGTTTCATGACCGGAGCCACTATTCTCGTTGGCCAATATGGAACCGTGACTCCCACCCACCCACCGCTGCTTGGGAGTGAGCAGATTGCCGATTGGCGGGTGTCAGCACATGCGGTGTGGTGGTGCAGACAAGCTCAACGTTTAACAGCTTCGATACCGCCTGCCAAACGAACGTGGCAGGAGGAGAACTATGGGGTTGGTGCGGCCCGAGGTTTCAGAAGATCTGGTGGGGAGCGAGCCCGAACCCACCACAAGTGTCCGTTAATAATCGACATCTACCTAGAAACCTACCAAGCCGGAGGACTCCGTACCTTAAATACAAGACCACCAGCGGGCCGCAGCGAGTGCGACTCAGGCCGGTCGACCAGACGAGGGGTGGCTTCCTCTTCGTGCCTGCTGGGTTGAAGGATTGGTTGGTAGAAGGATCAACGCACGTGTCCGGATTACACGTGTCGTGTCCTCCGGCATGAAACCAACTCGCCCAGCGCCGCCGTCCATTTTTGCTCACTTCTCGAGAGAGGGGTAATGTTTGTCGGTTTTCACCGGTGCCGCTTCCTTACCCGAACCCGGGAACGAAGAGGTGGGCCAGGAGGTTGGCAGCGTGGCTGGCAGTTCCAAGTTCTGCACTTAGCTTGGTGGAGAGTTGGTCCAGCAAGCGAAGCGGAAGCGTTGTTGTGCAACGATGCCTTGCTGCTGCGCATGGAGTATAGTCAGAGACGGCTGTCTTCAAGATTCTCGGCTACGATGCCAGCACGCTGCGATCGTGGTGTTGACAGCATTTCGTTCTGAGATCTCGTGCGTGCAGTTGCCAAGGATCCTTGGGGAGGAGATCTGGGAAGGCGGTGTGCACGCATACTGACAATGTGGGGAAGGAGGGGGAGACGAAGACGCGTCGAAAAGGGGCAGAACAGGAAAGACACTAATTAATCCTGTCTTGAATACAGGAGCTGGCTCTGACTGGCTGGCTTACAAAAGAGTTGCAACCCTCAATACTTTGGTGTGGTAATACAGGTTACCTACAGCCCGGAATACTTGCTTGCGATATGTTCTTGCTTTGGCTGTTTGTGGATGTGAACACCATTCCATTTCGCTTTCCAAAATGTGAATAGTCAATATTAATATTATCTTTAAGCATTGGGATCTGCCGACGCGTTACATGGGACGAAAGTCGCTGGAGCTCGAGGTATCCAGGATAGGGGGAGGGACCCCTGACCCTGAAGACAGCATTTAACAGGCAATCGCCGCATGACATCTGGCGGATTGGAGACTGCCATTTATTTGCCACCCCCGCTATAGCGGCCAGTGGTTTCAATACCTCAGGTCCCTTTTGGTCGGGAGCTTCTCTTTTCCTATCTATCTTCCATTGGAGAAAGGGAGCTCGGGGGTGTCGATATTCCAGTTCATGACTGGCACGGGCCTCCGTCCCGGCAGCAAATGTGACGTGTTGATTTGGGAGCGGAGGGAAAGCGCAAGAATATCAAAGACATGCAGGAACGAACTGCCAACCCCACGCGTGCAAAACGGTCCTCTCCATTCAGCGTACAGACCAATTTTTCCAGTGGTCGCTCGACGAGATTGCAACAATTGTTTGTCGGAGCCAATTGCATTATAGCCTGACTTGATGTATAGGAGACATGAACAAGGAAATTTTCGGATTGAATACCTAGGTGACCGACTATAGTAAATATTTTCATTCCTTTGTGGTTTCGCATGACTGAATATTCGACTGCAAAGAAAAAGGGGAAGACGCGACTTTTTCCATTTGTTTCCGCCCAGGCGGACGGACCACGAGCTAACGCATCTCAGCGCTGGCGCAATTCAACACAGCAGTTCGTTCAGGGGGGCTGACCCACTTGAGGTCTATGAGCAAGGAGCAAATTCATCTTTCAACTCTCTGTCCGCCGACCTTTTTTTTCCTCGTCAGGGTCGACAATCGCCGAATGCCGCGTGAGTGCAGACACGATAGAGGAATCGGCCGATTACGACACTGCCATATCAATCCCAAAGGACAATTTGCATCCTTGAACCGAATCACAGACTTGACCAGACGAGCCTTCCGAAAGAAGCCTGGGCACAGACGGCACCCCCTCACCCCAAACGGCCACCGGCAGCTGCCACCTGCCCAATAACTCGAACCTAGGCCCCAGACGCACCCTCTTTACACGTGTGCCGAGCCACACGTTAATAACTATTACGCGCCGAGCTGCCGCTGGAACGCCGCCATTGATGCTCAGTCGACTTTTGTGGCTTTGCCCCATTGATACGCTTGCCTTTGCACAAGAAATCGTTTGGGACAAGTTGTGCACGCCGTCACTGGGGCTATCTGCTTGACTTTCCGTGGATGGAGCCAACGGTCCCCTGCTGGCTTGTGTCACACAGCGATTAGCTTGGCCGAGAGCAGTGGCCAGCCAGTTAGTTAGTCGTCTGCGTCCTGCCTTCTGCCTCATCCAGCCTGTTCCTTCCCGTCCGGCAAGAGCCACCGCTCGCGACGATGCAATCGTCGGACACGACTCGCAGACCTGGGTCGCGGCGCAAGCCTGAACTCAACATCAACACATCGGCGGCGGCACCAAAGACAAGCAGAGACCGGGAAGCCATTCCGCAGACGCCTCCCGGTCGATTGCCGCCCACGTCGTCAAAAGCAAAGGCTGCCGCATCTGCATTTGCACCTGGGGGCCGGGCGCTTAGGGCCCCGACATCAACGAGGGACGCCGACATGGAAACATTTCTCGAAAGCCTCACCCCCGTTCGCACCCCCGTTCTCGACGTCTCAGGCAAAGACGCGGCCCGACCAGAACAGCCCCGCCCAAATAACCACCGCGATTCGCACGATCTCTCCCTGCCGCCCCGTCAAGTTACGAGGGACTCGTTGGTCGCCAACATGCTTCTCTCTCTCGACCAGTTCTCCATGGGCCAGACAAGCGGCGGCCCCTTCGGCGCCCCGAGGCCCGACTTCGACGACCCCGCCATATACCCACCCGCGTTCGGCAATGACGACGGGCGAACAATATCATTCAACTCGAGGTCGGGCCGACCCAACAATGGCCACACCTACTCATACAGTTCAGACCTTGAGGGCGCAGATGATGCGAGCCGAATATCTTCGCGAGGACGCCGCAGTAATAGTAGCTCTGCCTTCCAGTCGAGTCTAGGCCGCATTAATAGTGTGCGCGAGACGACAAGCCACCAACGGGGCATGCCCGAGACCCCGAAGCAGCTCCATTCTAGGGGCGGGAAGGGAAGCAAGAGCAGCAGTACGAATAGCATCGATGCAGGCTATGTCCAGGTCCTCAGCAGCCAGCGTTGGGCTCGCGGGTTTGGCGGAAGATCGTCGAGTTTCGACGCAGAAGAGTCGCGCACAGAGTCACGGCCGGTGCCCGCACCACCCTCGCAGGCACAGGCGCAGGGCCAGCCGCGCTCGCCATGGCACATTGAATTCTCCAATTCCTTTTTTAACAACGACGGCTACGATGCTGCGCCTACGCCCAACATCCCGGCAGGCCCCCGGAGGCTGGCAACGGTCCCGTCCCTTCCGGTCTTGCCTCCGCCCGAGCCTAAGATCGACACCAAGTCGTCAGTGTTAGATCGCCGTCGCAGTACTAGGTCGTCGAGGAGTGCAACAGTTGGACGGAAGGCCGAATCGAAGTTTAGTAGCGGGCGCGATGTCCCACCTGTCCCCCAGCTTGATCTCGAGTCAGCGCCTGCGCCACACGTCGGCTATGAAAAGTCGAAGGAAGCGGCAACTCCGACATCTGGGACAACACAACAAAAGGAGAAACCTGGCTTTTTCAGGCGCATGTTTGGCTCATCCAAGACAAACCAATCAAGCGTGTCATCGTCTGCGCAGGCGTCGTCTTCGTCCGTCGACATGTCTGGGCCAAGGTCGCACCAATTTGCGTCCCAAGCCAAGTCGTCGGCCCCGCCGTCGCGCGAGTCACACACGTCCGCCACACACACTTTACAGAAGAAGACATCGTCGTTCTTTCGGCGGCGGAAAGTGTCCATTAC